GCTATACCTATTGTTTCTGTCCCGGTGCTTACAGGGGAAGAGACAGGAGGGGCCATAGAAAGAGGGCGTGGCAATCACTGTCACTAAGGGCTCACCTATTCACAAGTCAAGCAAGGTGAGCGGGCACAGCCAGGCACAGCATTTTAGAGGCTAAACCAGTACAGCGAGGGCAGGTTGTGTGTGCATGTCTGTGTATGTTTACTGTTAGTCCTGATTTTTTCTCTCCCAAAAGCTTGGGATAAGATGTCATTCAGAGAACCTACCAAAGCAACACACTGCAGACCAAAGTAGAGCTATGCCAGTGTAAAATGGGACTATCCGTATGTCTGAAAAAGAACATTGACCTTGGACAAGGGTTACAGCTCGGGAAAAGAAGCTCCTGAAAGGCAAGTCAACGCTTCCTCCCAGCGTTCTCAGGGTGCCCTGGGAAGCCCCCCTGAACCAGTAAACCCGGAGTCTCGGTGCTAGACTCTCAGTGTGTGACGCTGTGAAACCATTTCTTTTGTTCTCATGCTCTGCTCTCTAAACCAGGGGTCCTCAAACTATGGCCCGCGGGCCACATGCAAATACAAATATTGTATTTGTTCCCGTTTTGTTTTTTTACTTCAAAATAAGATATGTGCAGTGTGCATAGGAATTTGTTCATAGTTTTTTTTTTTAAACTATAGTCCGGCCCTCCAACGGTCTGAGGGACAGTGAACTGGCCCCCTGTTTAAAAAGTTTGAAGCTCTGCTCTCTAAACAGTCTGAAAATAAGCTGACTTCTATGTAGCCTACACATTGGGAATGGCGTTGGCAGCCCACCTGAGCATCTTATCAGTTTGACAGCAGTAGTATGTTTTGTTTGAGTGAATTAATTGGTTCTGAATTTCTGTGCAGTTTTTTGGACACAGGTCAGCTTCTTCAGCCCACTCAGTTCTGGGATTTTGTAAAATCAGATTTCTGCTCCTACAGGCTAACGGGCTGGACCCTACCCAGGGTGCACTGCAGCCTGGGAGGCTTTTGCAGGACAGGTCAGATGATATTCCTCGGGATATACCCACACTTTGCTTTATTCCAGCCTTTCTTGCAAATATATACAAATCGCATGGGCCGCTGCTTCTCCAGTGGGGGTCTGATTCTGTGCAAGAATTTCAGAGCAAGTTGGAAAAATCCTAAATTAGAGGTAACATGGAGGATTCAGTGAGTGTTTTAGGGAAGGAGACTGCTACTGAACATTTTTAAGCATGCAGAGAGGTTCAATAGGGGAAGAGTTATCTAGTGAAGAAGTGGATTTCTGGTGGAGTTGAAAAGGAGCTGTGCTGATATTATTCAGGGATATTATAGAGTGCTACTGTGCGGTAGATTAGATTATTTCAGACCTCTAGGTTCTTTGAATTCTAAGAGTAATATTTAAGTATTGCTAATACTTATTTGTAGCAAGTTTCTAATAAAGTTTACTAATATTTATTGTAAAAT